ACATCATGACAGCTGAAACGGAAATAAAATCTCCTAAATCTTAGCTTTATAAACATCAGCCTTCTAGCATTACTCAGAGTGCGCTAGATACAGTGCAAACATGCACCTGAACCACAGCACTCACAATCTAGGATAAATCAGTAGTAAGCCACTAGGTAGAACATAACGGTTAAGGGATCAACATAGTCATAACAGGGTCACTACGGCCTCTTCCTAGATGTCCTTCAGTTCTGCCAGTGTTGTGTGGCTGATCTCTACCTAACAACACCAGAACACACAAAACAAGTGAATGGCCTTGCAGGTCAGCTCAGGAGCTATGCTATAAACAGATACACTGCTTTTAATATGCAGACAATTGTAAGGGGAAAAAAAGGGTTTTATGGGTGAGATAAGTCTAACTATTTACCTGTAGTAATTGACTTTCTGACTTTCTCTAGCCTTTATTTAATTACTTGTTTTCTCTAACAGAAATAGCTGTAATGCTGATTAAGGGTCCTTTACAAGTTATGCAACTCTATCATTCAACAGGAACATTGATCTGTACTAATTGTACTCTACTACGTCTGTGTACAAAGCAATTTTGTTGAATATAGTACTCTGAAAAGAGCAGAACACTATTTTCAAATGTATCTTATTTCATGAAGTTGGATAAAAAAGCAGATGGTAGATTAAAAGCAGTAGCTCTCTAGTCTTCTAAATTTATAATGAATTATCGTAATAAAGCTTTCATTGTCTTAAATAATTATAAAACCATTTTATTTCTAAAGTATTTATTGGGGTTCATTATAAATTATAGGGTGTGCACATATATGTGTATGTATTTCATAGGGTAGAGGTCTCGAAAATTTTAAGTACTATGAAGGTTGACAGGGGTGTAGGAGGAATAAAGTGAAACTAGTTATACCTTTATTTTGTAGAATCTCAACTTTCCATTAAAAGACTTTAATTTTCACAGTTCTGAAACTTCCAACTGTGAATAAAGTATCGTAAGTACAAGAATGTCTTCAGAGAAAATAGCTCTAGAAATACTTAAATCCCCTTTGCCAATCATCTGACTGAAGCATTATCAATAAAACCTCATGTTGATACTGTTCCATAGTTGATCACTGAAGTGTGGTGTGAGGCTGGAGGGAGAAGGACACTGGAGAGAGGAATTGGGCAGTATCAGCAGTGTTGTCAGGTAAGATACTCCTTACTGAAAACACAAGTAACAAGCGCATTGAAGAAGAGAAATAGAAGATAGGAGGAAGAGTGAAAAAAGAACGTAAACAGTAGTAGTCCTAAAAAACCCCAATATTTTCTCAATAAAGGACACAATGAAGTCCTGTATAAATCAAAGATGATGACAAGCAAAGGTCAGTTATCACAAAAATGCTGTACCCTGTATGTTAGACCTTGGGCAAGTTTCAGTATGGGACTGTCAAATACAGAATGAGGTATTCATTTATATCCCAGCTGACAGACCACATGCAAAACAGAACTCAAACCTCTGAATACATTGATAGATGCATTGATCATATTCTGGCAAAAGAAGGGAAATGCTGCCACAGTATAGGAGTGTTGAAAAATACTATTCAGCTGTGACGTGGTTTTATAAGATATACTACACTAAAATATCCGAGCTCCTTCCACATGAAAACATGCATCAGCTGAGGTCCTGCCCGTAGGTTTTATGTCCTTTCTAATGTGTAGGACTGGGTTGCTGAGTTCATACCTCAAACTATTCTAGAGAAAACATATACCAGTTTCGCACGCTTTATGCCAAGCTTTGGAATGGAACTCAGCTCTCTTAACTTCCAAGTCATCGCAGAAGACTGCAAAACAATCCCTGAAGTACAATGTCTGAATATATAGATTTCTAATATAGAATGCTGATTTTTTGGGGTGCTCATTTTTTGATGGGCTTAAAGCAAACTAGTTTGGTCAAAGTCAACTTTTGGATTAAGTAAGAACATGAGAAATACTAGTCCCAAGAATATTCCTTTAAAATAAGGAAGCTAGATGGGACTGCTAAAACTAAATTAAGATATGTAGGGGTAAAAACACATGAGTCTATAAGGTATGCTGTTATTAGCCATTATGTGGCATGATTTCTGAATTCCAAAATAATGTTAAATATGACCCCTTACTTGTTCTGATAATGATAGTATAATTTAGTAAATGATACTAATGAAAACTCTGCTCCATGTAAAAAGCAAGTAATACTGAGGCATACTTCCTCTAAAAAGCATATTACACAACTTTTCTGCAGTGTCTTCACCTTATTACTGAAGGAAAACACTGCAGTATGTGAAGTCAAACTCATACGTTCACATTTTTGTGGAAGAGGAACAAAGCAAGTAATCTCATTACATAAAGTCAATCTCTGAGTGCTTTGACAATGAATACTGAGTCAATCTTCCCATTAAGTCAGGGTGTATATGACAAATATGCTCTACTTGAAATGCAGAATTTAATTCCAGCATGATCACTTCAGAGACCAGTTCTGCAAAGTACAGCAGCCATGGCACAGCACACAATCGCAGCGTAAGTAACTATACGTTATTGCTAAACACATTTTAAACTCTAGTGTACACTAGTCTTTGTCTCAGTAAAGCTATTTTAACCACAGACCATGTTTGTTCGAGCAAGTTTTTCTACCTGTTTTTCCACCGAATCTGAGCAAAGCATTCAGTGACTAATTTACTTGGTACATTTTCATTTGTTGTCACTCATAAATAATTTATAGCTTTAGCAGGCATATTGCTTTTGCTTTTACGTATGTTTTTGGGTTTTGTTTCTTTTTATAAAGAGTTCTTTGCAAATTGTTTATAGGCCATGCTGAAAAAAACCTTTCAATTTTTCAACTGTAGACTTTTAAGTTGATTTGGGTATCACTATGTGTAGTTTTGGTTGTTCGGTAAGAGTCACCAGTCCATGACTTGTAACTACAAATCGCTTAACTATCAGTTTCTCTGAGTTCAAGCAAAGCCACAAACTATAGTTTCTCTCTGGTCAAGAGATCTGGGAAGAGAGAAGATGGTGAGAAGAATTTGCTGAGTATCTTTGACAAATGGCTTTGTAATAGCAGCGAGGAAGGCAGAAAGCATGACACAAAGGAGGGGAGAATAGATGAGAAATACAAAAGGAATGAAATCTTCAGGAAACCAGAGGAGTAGCAGGAGAACCTTCTGTCATAATTCACTCAATGTAAAACTGATCTTTACTGATGTTCTGCCACATGATTCACATCAGGCTGCTGAAACATTTATTCACACTTCAGGGATCGCGCTCTGCCTTAGTCCTAAAGGTCCCTCACTGTTTACTCTGTTCACAGAGTTCATCCCTCACCTCAGTACAATCTTTTTATCACTTTCTTAATCTGAAATAATATGCTCAATTTTAGTTACAGATTTTAAAATAATATGTTAAAACATTAAAAGAGTATGTTCACATATATATTCAAATGAAACGAAAGTCTGAATGCATGAAATATTCTCTGTAGACATAAATGGTATACACATACCTTCCTGGGCCACTTTTTTGTGTCAACTTCAAAGCATATAAAACGCTAATGCATTTTCACTATTTTAAGAACTGTATAAACATTTGTTATTTGCATATTTGGACACACTATAATCTTGATTCTACTAGCCATTTTCCTATGGCTTTCCCACTGCCCTATTTAGCTTTCTATTTAACTTCTCTGGAAGATCTTTCAGTTGCAGCTTTTCTGTAATTCTACACACACAATTAATGCAATTGCTCATTTGTGCCTTACATAGTTTTAGTTATAATATGTGAATATGTAGGTATTTACACATGCACACACATACACACCATTAGTCACTCTTAATTTTGTTCAATATGCTAATTTAATTATTCATTTAATCTGCCAAACTTTTCCATTAAATTGATTCGAATACTCAAATGTAGTGTCTTACTGAAATAAAAAAAAAACCCACAGAAATTTGAAGAAAGTTGATTGCTTTTCAAGTGTTTTATTTAAAACATACATATATACTAACGTCTAAACTTACTTCCTACAGGTCAAAAACTCACCTCGTTGTAATGAATTTGGTGAAATAGTAAACATTTTATTAGGTACTTCAAAAATACAGGATGCTTCTGTAAATACAGTTATATATATGATTGGTATTCTATCTGCAAGACAGATTCACCTTGTGGGTTTTTTTTTCTCCATAAAGCTTTCTGGACAATCAGCTGTCAGCTCAGCTGAATGACAAGAGAGAAATAAGAGACTAAAAAATGAAAGCCAGAAATATTCTGTGAACACAATTGGTTTCAAGCACTTTGACTGGATTCAGAAATCCTACAGTCAGCTACACCATCCAAATGTTCATGTATATTTAAGTAACAAATCCAAGACATGTACTATGATGAGCAATTCTGTATGAAAAATTACCAACAAGGAACACGCCACGGGAACATGCTCTCATTATCAGCTCGCTCTGTCTTTCTTTCTCCCTGCTCCTGAAGCACACGGATGTCATAGCACTATAGGAACTTATTTGATAAGCAGTATACCTATTTCCTTTCTTTTTTGAACAATTCGTATACTACACAGCACAAGAAAACTGAAAAGACGAGTGTGCTGCCATAATCCCATTTCTGACAAGATCTTTTTAGGATTTTTACTCTGAATACTGGATGTTAAAAATATTTGTACTTAATTCAACAAATGCTACACCTTATTAATGTACAGAAGAAACCCAGAAAATGGCACCTCAGTAGTTTTTTGTCATTTATGCATGTGGTGGGTTTTTTAATTTTTTAACTCATTTACTGCCACCTCCTGGAACTTACAAGGTAATAGTATTTACACTATTTATCAGCAGCCAGTACTCCTGTTCAATACTACTGAAACGCTCAAATGCCAAAAACTTCTCTCAGAAGCATTTTCAAAATATTGCTGTACTTTTTACACTGCTGTCTTTTATTCTGCAAACAGTGAATATTGTTCTTTGGGCACAAACTGGTAAAAGGTTCACATAGCTTACCTTTGTCTGGAAGCAGCAGTAAAGTTGTGTTAGGTATGGATGTTTCCGTGCTAATGCCAGAATTCTCTTTTCTGTCATTGTACAGTCTACATCATCATCCTGAAGTATGACATCTTTCTTCAAGACTTTCACTGCATACACTTCATCTTTTCCTTTTAGCTCAGCTAACATTACCTAAAACAAACAGAAATTCTCTTTATGTATGAACAACAGACACCATAAATGCAGGACTGCATATGAGTTTGCACTGGAAATATGAAGATAGTTACATACTTGCCTAAATGAAGTTGTATGTTTACAAAATTTAAAGTAATGTAATTTTAGGAAAAGATACCTCTGGTATTCTTTAAATTTGTTTGTTAGTTAAGAATGCAGAAGATAAAAAGTTTTTATTTCCTCATTCAAATATCTTAATGAGTGCCTATTAGTGAGATCTCAGAAACTAAAAAAGGAAGGAAGTTGATATGGAATAGAAATCTATTTCCCACTTTTATCTCCCACTTTTGGTAGTGAGATTTGTGTGTGATGAACTTAGTATACAATCCCATGTACCATTCCGGCTGCTTTAAAGTTGTTGACTTTAACTACTGTTATTGGTTAAGTTTCAAGTCCTATACTCTGTTTAAGGTCAGTTTTGGCTCAGAGCCAGGGATATTCTCAGGGAAAGGATTAGAAAACAGGGAGACAAAGGAACTGCTTCAGCCCTGTTCCCCTGCATCTGCAGTTCCCATATATTAAGGAAGGAAGAGTGTACTTGCAAAACAGATTCACATTTCAGTCCTTCTCTTTGATTGCACAATGCACAGCACTGTGAAAAGAAAATCTATAAGTCCTGTAAATACAGCAATACCCCTTCTACCCTCATCAATTGCCTACAGTGGGAAGGTATCTGGTGAGTTACATCTTTGCCACATACGTGATATTTTGGGCAGCTGCCGAAGCCTCTTGCTCTCACTGTATCTGAGTGGAAATGCTTGAGTTCTGCTTCCTGTAGCACTGAACACACCCACTAAGGAAAAACAAGCACACAAACTGTTCTGTGAAGTAAACTTGAACTCGGTATTATCTAGAAAGGGAATGAACTCAGAACTCCACAGCATTATTCGTGGGCTGATTTCTCCTGCTTGACCACAAGTAATTATCTTGTTGAACAGTATGTATGTAACTGTATGTATGTCTTCATTACCAATATCCTGACATAGTGAAACATTGACATTTTGTTTCAAAAGGCTTGACCTAGTTAACAGAAATGCCACAGAAAATGCCAGCTGATCAGGAGGCTGATATTCCTGATCTGTGGGGTAAAAGCTGCTTTTACCCAATGGGTAAAAGGAAACCTGTAGGGTGGAAGCACTTTGTGAATGCCTCTATGAATACTTTCAAAGCAGTACAGTCAAAAAACCCTTGCACTTCAGTGTAAAAAAAACCCGAAACCAAACAAAAAAACCTCACCTTGCCAAAGCTGCCTTTCCCTAATACTTTGATGAAGTTGAACTCTTCAAGGCCTATTCGTTTCGTCTGGGCCTGTTTGACCTCCCCATTTTCACCATTCTCCCCAGGTTTGTTAAGCTGGCTGTCTGTTGACGTTGTAGCTGTTGCTCTGTGCTCCTCTCCCCTATTGTCAAATGATAACGCTTTCCTAATGTTGTTTTCCAGCTCTTTGATTTCTGTGGAAATGTGAGAAAAAAAGAGTTCGTTTTAACCAACCATCAGAAAAACAGCCTGTGTTAGTCTGTATCAGTTCGGGAAGGGACATTCATCATCCTCGAATGCTGTGTAGAGCATTCGGTGGCTAAGAATACATACTTAGCAAACTGCTTCTCCACCTTACAGTTATCAGCCAAAACCCTGCTCTAACAGGAAGGGCGGCCTTTTAAAATGAACCTGACATTTTAAAATGAACGTGACACATCCAAAACTTGAAAGATAAGTCAGAATAGTAGCCAAATAGTTGTTTTAGTGATTTTGGGTATTCCCCTACCATGGAGAAGTACTTTGTTTTGAATACCCCTATCTTCCTGCAGCACTTACTCATCTTCCTGCTTAAGTATTTCAGAGCTGTATCTTCAAAAGTTCAAAGGATAGCTGGGCATCCCAGTCCTTGAAGTCAACATGAATGGAGCATCTTACTCAGCTTCAGCTGCTACCAAATGCCTGCCAGTAAGTATTTGACCACTTCCTAGTGCCGCTTTAAGCATCAATTGTGTAGATCTGCTAAATGGTTCTGAAGGTTTCCCAGTGTTAAATACAGTGAGTCCTGGTGACTAACGGACCTTGGGGTCTGCCTCAAGCTCTTGCATAGTACTTCTGCTTGATGGCCTTGGAAGCAACAACTTTACTAGACAGCTACAAAAGTGAAATTTAAGAGAGAATTTAGACAAATTCTTTCTTCTTATTTTAAGCAAAACATCGTATATTTTAAAATATATTATTTAACCAAAATATTGTCTGTGAAACCAAAAGGTTGAGAAACTTAAATCAGTTCTGGACTCAGAGTTTTACAGTTCTAATTATCATGGAGCTTTGGAAATGTCTTCCCTAAAAATAAGGCTAAGGAATTTCTCAACTGTAAACAGTTTTCAAAGAATTAGACACAAAAGTATCTGTTTTCCTATGTCTTGGTGTAAAGATTTTTCATTCGTTTACACACGTGATGGTACATAAGATACCTCACAGACTTGTTATTTTTTAAAAAAACAATCAGATCATATTCAAAAAGTGCTGCTGACATACACCTTCTGTCAATCAGGCTGTTTAGGTCAATGAAATCAGGTCATAGAAGTTAAAATATTTGTCTCCAAATCTATGCATTAAAAAAGTCACTGAAAGGAAACATGGTTTTATGAAGCCTCTAGAGACCACACAGACATGCCAGCATAGCCTAACTGGATGGAAGTTTTTATTACCACAAATGTTCAACACGGAATTGCACGGAGGCAATTTTATCCCAAAACCTTATTAACAGGTAGAGGATTTTCAGATAAATAAAGGTGCTCTCAGGTCCTGTGGTACTACTAAAAACGTTCTCAATCTTACAACAGAATATATAATCTCCTCACATAAAGGTATTTGTTTAGGCAAGGACTCATCTAGTAAACTTAACAATATTTTAAAGATGACTGTTTTATAATTTTCCCCTTAAAAGCCACTTAATTTCACAGATATAAATGAAATTTGAAGCAGGCCTTTTAAAAAAAGTTTTTGCAGTTCTTAAAGTTAAGTGCTTCATTTCCTGGTGGTAACTACTTCGTTGATTTGGTTCTACAGAGGCTGGGGCTGATAGCTTTTTTACTCCTCATAAAGAAGGAAAATATGTGACAATATGTATCAATTAGGAAATAAAAAGAGATGTTCGACCTTGATCACATGGAGAAGTTGGTGCTGACTTTGACCTATCTTCTTCTGATGATGCGCTTCCAGGAACTGGTTGTTGAGTCTCTGCACCTGCAATTAGCTAAGAACAATTCCAAAAGGGGTACTCAGCTATGAGATCCTCCCATGCCAAGAGGAAATTTAATTTAACAACATTAATTCCCTAGTAGAAGTATGAAGGAAAGTGAAGATGTTCTGTCCCTATAGATTCTCACTGGCAGGACCTCAGCCATACAGTAGATGGCATCACATCAAATGGAGACCATAATATAGCCAGAGAAAGAACCAGCAGTTTAAAGAAAAACAGATTCTTAAGATGAAATAAATGTAATAAGCATAGCCAGTGAGTGGGAAAGTTTTGAATAGCCACCATAAGTCTGTGTAGAAATCTATCCAGTAAAGACATTTAACTACAAGTATCAGCAAGCACCGCAAACTAACTCATGCATGAACTAACAACATGACAACGTCTTTTCCCAGGAGTCACAGATCAGTTAACTTATTCCTGAGTTTTCTGTGTTTCTGCAACATTTTAAAACAGTGTACATGGGATGCAAGTGTGCAATAATCAGGAAAATGAAAAGAACCAAATGTCAGTATTTTAAGAAATTATGGTTAAAATCGCTTATTTCTGTAAGTGAGAGCAATAGGTCTGTTGTCACAATCATGCAATTAGAGATAGTGTGGTCAAATTCTGATCTAGGACACCTATTATCAATTCAGAATAACTCCATCAGCTTTGGATGTACTTGGGGTGACCTCTACTTTTTATTTCTAGAACAGCCTAGTTCTTCCTATAATAGTGATGATAACTCTGGAACCGTGATCCAGCAAACAGCTCCTCTTCATGAGACTCAGCACATTGCTCATTTATCAGCATTTACAATGTTACGCAGTAGTGTTGTGCCTCAATCAATCAATTATCCAATGCCAATTCTGAGCCAGAGAGACATTAACGTTTTTATGAACTTTTGTGTCAGACACTGTCTCTCTGTCAAATCTCCTTCCTCACAATTAAAAAGGGGAAGAAATCCTTACAGACTCTATAGAGACTCCAGGTTTGCAAAATTGTAGTAGGTCAAAATCAATTTCATATAAAAATTCAGGATAGATGACTTGCACTTACAAATCAAAAGCCAAAGTCTTAGTTCTGTACTGACTTAAATAAATTGTTGTGCAAGTCAAGTGAGTGGGATTGAACCTCAACTAGTAAAGTTACAATACAGTCATACTTATCTCATTTTTTTATGTGACACTACATAGTAAAACTACCTTTTTTCTCCTCTGCCCACTATTAGTAATCTTATCTGGAGTGACTCCAAGATCTGCAAGAACTTTAGCTATGCCTCTAGCATCCACTCCACAGTTTGGTGCCACGTTTGTTTCACAGCGTCGATGTACATTCATCTTGCAAACTGCAATGAAATGTAAAGTAATAGAGTAAATTAAATACTACCTTGGCATGCATTTGTCTTACTTAAATTAAACCTTATTTGACCTACCAATAACTTTTTCAAATAAATATAATTTCAGTAAAGTACTTGGCTGGATTTGCAGTGACACTTCAATGCTATCATAAAATTATTAACCTGGTGATCATTCTTCTGCTATAACACAGAACAGTGTTTTCACACAGTACCCAGAACAGACACAGGAACAAATGAAAATATCTAATGACCCTGTAAATCTTAAATAGAATTTGAAGAAAAGTCCTTCAGAGCTTGGATTTTAGCAGTTGACTTCTGCTCTCATACTGAGAGCACAACATTACTTCCTCATGTATTATTGCTTCTTAGGCTATTTTACTCAAGTAGATTAAGTCCTAATGTAGGCAGGCATAAAACCAACAGTGTTTTAAGTTTTAATAGAAGTCTTTGGCACTGTTAGATAATCTTTTTGTTTACACGGCAATCCATTTAATAAGCTCTTTCTCTTAAATACCATCTCCTGAAACTAGCATACTAGTAAGAAATAAAAAAAAGGTTACATTGCTCTCAGGTTATGGGGTAGGGGGGAGAACACAGCTCCATTAGAAATAACATAGCGTGGATTTGTTAGGAGCAGACGATGTATTTTATCTTAGACTTCACTGCCCTCTTGTGGAGCAAGGCATAAAGAAAGCAAAAAAAAAAAGTGTAATTAAATAGTAGATTAACATTCAATTGCTCGAATTCCTCACTTCATTACTTTTTAGAGGAAAAAAAAAACAAACAAAAAAGTATGTATTTATAAAGCTGTATTTCACTATACTGTTCATCAATGATGCTTTCACTGTGTAACCCCTAAAGAAACAAACCACATTTGCCGCTCGGACTATACGCAGGCACTGTATCTGCGGCAGTAACCATGCACTTCAGAAAGCAAGTGCCTTTCCTTTTCAAGTATGTTTCAGTTCACAAGAAGAACAAAAAGAAATTGGTAAACATGGTATTTTCAGTGCATTTATATTTGATGACAAAAGCTCAGTGGCAAGTAAAATGTTTGACCTAGGATCCGTAACAGTGGACACTGAGAAACTGAACAGCTTGAAATAAAGCCAGCAGGAAAATTTTGTACAGTCCAACTTCATGAACATATTTCATAAAAAGAAGCACAGAAATATGCAGTGAAAAAAACAGAAGAAGAATAAACCTCTGCAATACACTTTTCTTGGTTGTTAATAACCACACTGGGAAAGCAAGTACATCTCTGAAGAAGGGAACTGTTTGGCACTTGCTAAGAGAGGAAACAAAGCACGGAGACAATGACATTTCCAGCTCAGGTAGTTCTAGATTTCATGCAGGCAACACTGCGTTTTTATAGGCATTAACTTTCTGAATACAGAGAAAGCAACATAGGCTGTCTGAACTATTGTTTCTATGCATCTGCCACACAGTAAATGTATACGTATGAGAAATAACATTATTTTCTACAGTTAAGAACAAATGAACAACTGTGGCACTTGAGAGAGAACATGAAAGTGAACTAATACATTCACAGATTAAGTGGAGAGATACTATAGCTCTGATTAAAAGAGAAAAAAAAATTAGGTTTAATTGAAAAATCTTCTCTGAACATATCTCCACCATAATTAATACAGCATTTAAACAAAATCTTCAGTAGTAGTAAAGTAACAGTATTTAGAGTCTAACATTTTATCACTGCTCTCTCGCTAGAGTCACAAGGGAAGGCCTAAACGTCAGAATACTCACACTGTGTATCACTTTGTCATGAAAGAAATTTCTTCTTTCCCTTGCTGCTCAGCAATTTCTGACATGAAACATTAAGTCTGACCTTCACCTATAGTTATGTCTCATCTTAAATACCACAAAGGATATATTTCACAGATTACATGTTTATACATATATGTGTGACTCCACATTTCTGCAGTTGAGAAGTGTACATAACATGATTTTTGTATTTATGAAGATGGACCTACCTATTCATGAAGGTATAACAAAATGAAAATGCTTACAATTCCACTAAGTACTATGTTCTAAGAATTTGACAATCTTCATGACATCATTCCCATCAACTCATTAATTGAAGTATTTTATTCACTATTTCTAAAAGATCACTTTCCTTTGCAAGTGTTTGTATTATTTTCTCTCTCATTTAGAATATACAGATCTGCTTGAAACAAAGAGATATGGAACCAACCATTTGTTTAGTCAGCTAAAACAGCATGAATGCACCTTCCAGCAGTAATTTCATATGCAGTTACCGTAGAGAGTACACAGTCCTCAAGCTGCAGAACATAATGAATCCTTTATTTTCTGGAATAGAGGAGCTAGGCAGACCATCGCAAAGGATGATTTAGCTAGATATCAGAATACCTCATCTTCTGGGTAGGAGCACACAGGACTAGTACTGCCTAGCCTAGCCAATACATAACAGTAATTTTTGAAGACGGTATTAAGGGGAAAAGTAGCTGGAATAATGATGCTTAAAAAATTTAACGATCATCACCACAAACCTGAAAACACAAAATGTATATAAGCTGAAGGGATGTAAATTCTCATGCTCCTAATTTTCTGTCAACTTCTCATTTCCTGTGTGGCAATAAACCTATGCAGCAGTGAGCGCAAAATGTATTTCTGCACCTCTGTCCCCTGCACCTGTTATTGACTGGTGTTGCAGACAGGGTAAAGGACCGTATTCTAACCATGATGGCAATCCTTACAGTTGTCCACTATTTACTTTCTATTCATTTCTGTACATGTTGGAAAAAACAGAATAACTTGAATTCTTTCCAAGTCTACAGGTCACTCAAAGAAAAAGAAAAGATCTGAAGTGGTAATTCTTACCTTTGCATTGTAAACCTTGTCTCAAAAGACCCCAGAGCAATGAACCACAGTGGTCACAGAAGGTGGGCACTTTGTAATTGTGAATGCTAAACTTGTGAGGCATGTTGACACTGAAACGCTGGGATCCCACTTGCTGAAAAAGGAAAGCACAGCATATTTCATTCTAATTAATTTCTTCATAATCACTGTACACGGAGGCTCTGCTCTGCTTTGAAACCACACAGAATTCAACCAAGATGAAATAGGTCTGTGCTCAGATGATAATCCTTGCATTAGATATACTACAGCTCCAGAGTTACTTTATTTTGGGAAAGGAGAGGGAAGGGCTGCTGTTGTCCAAGAGATAAAGACTAAAGTCTACTTCCTAGTTCTTCTGGGAACAACAAATACATAGCTATCAGGAAAGATCTCTTAATGTGGAAGGCACGGAAGTCACTCCCAATTGTTTTAGGAGCAGGAGGCCAAACTAATACAGGACTAAGAACGAGAAATGTATCACAACTCCTTTACCTTTTCATATCCCACTCTTCTTTAGATTATGATAATGACAATGATAAATCTTCGTGTTCAGGGATTCTAAGGTATGATAACTTACTAATTAAAGGATGACATTGATAAGTTCTTATACTGGCCATTGCATAGCAGGAGATTTATTTCGATATTTTTCCTTCCCTTTCCTATTACCGCTGGCTTCTCTCCAGTGATCTAGTACCCCTTCTAAACAATGAGAGCATTATTATCAGCAAAGCATGCAAGTCTCCACCAGTCTGGAGCCTGGGAATATAAATCTAAGCAAGATATTTTATCTTCCTGTGAGTACTATGCACAAACAGCACTAGCCAAACACAGTCCTTTATCACAATCCTATGCACACAATCAAGTTTTGGATGTAAAATACTGGTTGTGAACCAGGTACTAAAGAATGCTTCCATTACGAAAATTGGTAGTGAATTGCACAGGAAGAATGAGATCAGTCAGTGTCTCAGTCAAATTCATATCAAAGTTGAAACAGTGGCTTAAAACCATCATTCCATACAACTCCGATTTGCAATTTAAAACTAGGCTTTTTCAAGTATATTAATGTAGATTTTTAACAAATAAAACTAAGAAATGTACATTTTCTGTGTGGCCAAGGAACTGGATCACCCACAGACTACCTCACCTAATCCTATGGTGAAAGCTAGTAGGCCCTTGCTGTTGCACAAAACAGAATAGGACAGTGAGCATTCATTAGCTTTTCTGTTAAAACACAAACAAACAAACAACTTCTGCATAAGATAAAGCATTCACTGGTTACAACTGAGGGTTACAACTATTTAAAAGACCATAAACACCACCCTCCTCCCCAACTGTCCCCTATCAACCTAGCCATAAAAGGATACCCCAAAGCCAAGGAGTCTAGGGGAGCTGAACACTATAGTAGTCACATCGTTCCCTGGTGTACGGTTGTCCACAGAGATTAACATTAATTTTCTAACCAAGCCTAAAAGGGCCATCTTAGCTGAGAGACACCTTTAACCCAAGTGAACAGATTGCTTTGTTTCCTCTTCTGATCCAGAGTTGAACATGCTGTTGGTAGGTATGTTTGCCACCCTGACAGTATGGCTCTGAAGGCAGTTAATTTAATTTTCAGGTGATGTCTTCATTTATTTAAATGCATGATAACATAAAGCACTTACTGTGTTAATTCCATTAACATATAAAAACTTGCTAGAGGTAGGGAGTAATTATGCTGGAAAAACCTGTTAGCTGTGCAGTACCTTGTTTTATCATTACCACATTATACAATATCCTTCTTCAACACACGGATGGTTTTTGTTCTACATTTTGACAGTTCGGATGCAGTCTTTGTTGAAGTGAGACTTTGCAAGCAAATTCTGGGCAATCTTTTATGTTGATGCAAGATACCCAAGCATACTGCCTATCCTATCATCTGCTAACGACTCAACTGCATAAAATGTAGTTGTGGGATAAAGGTTCCCAGACTGCTTCTTTTGAATTAAAATGACAAAACTCGTATTAACTCAGAAATGGAGAATGTTAAAAATGAAAAGGAGTGCAAAGACCTCACTGAGACTTTAGGCATTCAGATATTATAAAAAAATTACTAATTAGAAATAAATTGCTGTATAATAATTCCCATGTAAATGAAACTGTTATGGTAATCTGTCATTCCAAAGCAAATGCTACACCACAAGATGACCAGAAGGGCACAGAAAAAGTCCATAACATTTATTGATTAAACAGAGGAGACAACACTACTTTGAATAGATGAAAGACAAGAGTTTTATCTAGAAAACTTATTTTACAAATATTTACCTCATCGTGAGTTTCCTGTTTTTTTAAGCCAGCACACTTCGTTATTATAAGTTCATGGCATCTCTTGTGGACTACACAAGTGCAAACTATAAACAAAAAACAGATAAAAGAATGAGTTTTCATGAAGATTGATTTGAAAGCAAAAGACTGATCTCAGAAGACTAGAAATGCTGGGATTTGAAAGGTTGCAAGTGACTGGTGACTTGATGAGTCCTTATGAAGTAAGTCTGGCTTACAAAGGCAGAAGATAATGGACTTTCAAGAGACCAAAACATTTTAAGAAAACTAAAGCATATCTGCCAAAATCTTAGTACGTAAAACTACAAATTACCTTCTGAAATATTAATCACAATTTTTCTGAATTTTTACATATTTGACTTCTTTATCTCATAAAGTCCATGATCTCCACATTATATGAGACACAAAGGCAAAAACAATTCCTGGCTGAAGAGCTTCCAGAGGAAGAGACATAAAGCCAACTCATTGTAAAAGTCAAAGAACAGAAAAAACAAAGTTGAACATTCTTTCTATAACACATTATCATAAGTTGATAACAGTAAAAGGTTTCAGGAGGCAAAAATGCTTTGTCAATATTCATACTGATTACTTAATCAATGAATAACATTTGCAGATACAACAGATAAGATTAACAATTACAAGGTCTATCGTTCTGTGGGATTCAAGGTCATTAAGTGGAGGAAAAACCTTCAGAGTGAAAGAATGAATTTCATTTTCTTCTAGCTTTGGTCATTGCTGTAAGAAAAATAAAATCAGAACTCAAGGAACCTCTGCTGTATGTTAACAGCATGCAAAACCATTATTTGCATTTATTTATTTACCAGGAGATTTCAAGTCTGTTGTAACTCAAAAATCATCACTAACTTGATTATTTTTACTTGTCAGATGAGAATTAAGTAGAGAAACATCATCCCAAGAGGTGACTGCATAAAAAATTAAGAGTACAAGAAACCTAGTTTAAAAATGGAGTTAAAAATGAAGCACTTCTGCAGTCTTTGCTATAACCTTCTCTAATGATGACCTCTATAATTATCTCATCTATTTAATTACAGTCTTTGCAATTACCTGGCATGTTTAAACAAAGAATCTTAAGCAGAATAAAGAATTCACAATTTTAAAATGCAAGAAGTGAAAAATGAAGAAGCCAGCATCTGCAGATATGCCCCCCTAGCTGGATCTGCATCAAGAGATGCCTAGGATCTGCTGTTCAGTGATGTTAACTGTGCCTCTACTTCATATATGATGTCTAAGGCCAACAGTTTTGAAAAATCTTACTGTAACTTGCTGTAAAGACTGTAACTTTGGTGAGACAAACTTATTCTGATCCTTGCTAAATTCTTGGCACTGTACACATACAATGCCTGATGAAAACATCTTATTTATATAGTATAATGAAATACATATATGCAAATTGTCCCCCTGTAGATTTCCTCTTACCTTGACATTGGTATCCCTGTTTTCCTATTACACCCCTGAAAATAAAACAGTGTTTTAGAAAATGAAGAATATATATTTTAAAAAATGAAACACATTTTTTCCTCTCTTTACTGGATGTGCACAAGTTTAAAAGAATAGCCTCTTATAATCAATAATCTGATAACTGCATGCCTAGACTGAGACTAGTTCAAAGTAGGAACCATGTTTCAGCTACTAAGAGGTAACAGGTAGGCCATGAAGTGAATCAGAAGTAAAGACATATTTATTATAATAAAATAGGCAAAGCCAAAGGGTACATAGAAAGGGAAGCCACAAGCTGGTAAAACAGTCATCAAGCAGGCCGCTACATAGACAGAAGATTACATTTGCCAATATTGTTGCTTGAAATCATCTTAGTTAATGTAAAGCCTAATCTGCAGACATTTCTTAGAGGAACGTACTTGAGTTCATGTACAATTTACATCGTTTCATGTTAAGACTGATTCATTACAGATTCTCAAGAAATATTAATTATGGATCACATCAGATCTTATGTGTATTAAGGTGCAAATCAGTATTCTTAGGTAACTTTGGTAAATGTCAGTGGAGTTGCTGAAAAATAACTGAAAACTGAGTGTCTCCATCGCTTTTCCCTATGTGAAAATTGCGAGTACTCAAAACTAAGGTAAATAATTTCTAAAAGGGCGTTCTTAGCATACACTGCAATAATAAAGACCCTATACACTGAGCACCTATACACTGGATCATTAGAAGTCTAATATTCTCATGTTCCATTAACTTCAGTAGGACATATAGGAGCTCGGCATTTCCTAGGAGGAAGATGGTCATACTTAAGCACCTAATGAAGAATTCAGTATCTTGGCAAAATGTAAAGCTCTAATATTAGGTTTACATCTACTCTTGCGCACCTACAGAACACTAGACTGGTTGTCTACCTAGAATTTATAGTGTGTACTAGAGAGGAAAAGGTTGAACTTTGTGGTTCAGAGGAGAAAAAATGCAAATACAACAAATTCTAACATTTGTGATGGAAGTTTAACAGACTGCTATTATTGTCTGCAAAACTCATGACAGCTTAATATTAAAATGAAGAGGAAAAACCCTACTACTTCATGCCATTTATACTTCAGCAAAACAGGAGGGTATGTTAACTCCTCAATTCAAGGTTGCGAAGAAAGTTGCTTCTTACCATATAAAATCTCTGCAGTGTGAACAATATGTTGGTTGTCTAAGATAGGTGGCCATAAACTTGTGTCCATTAACCTGATGTACTCTGCGTCGTACAGCACCCTGCCGCTTTCTGGGGCGCATACGTTCCCGGAACACACGTTCTTCATTGTCTTTGGGTGCTGAAAAAGAGGAAAAACCAGTAAGTACTGGCTATATCAGACACAAATATAGGAAAACTCAAATGCAATACATAAGTAGATATTCTTCAAAAATAAAAATAATCCTCTCTACCTAGCAGTGCAAGATAACTTCCCTAAGTTGTAGGTTACTTTTTTCTTTTTTAGCATCAGTCACTAAAGGGCAAGGGATTTCATTGCCTAGTACAGAAGCTTCTATTTGTTCTAAACATTTACGTGTAAATTCATGTTAAACTGGGAATAAGTCTTCTGTGCTTTATCACCATCAAGCACACTGACAATCTCTTTAACAGTAATTATGCAGAGTCTCCAAACAGCTCAGACTTTCATCTCATTTTATCTTCAGGGGAAAAAAAAGAAATCCACCAAAAAAAATCCCAACATCCCCTGGTCCCCATACACTCAGAAAGTGCTGACACAACTGCAAGAAAGCTGAGTACAAATACTTATTATCAAGCAGAACAAAAATTCCATCCAGAACTGATTACTTTGTAGAATTCCTGATTAAGATCTGAGCTTCAGGCTCTAATAATCCACTTTGATACTAACACTTTCAGCAAAATATTCAAGGGAAGGAAGCTGTTCATCTTAACCAATTGCTGTTCAATTGTGTATGAGATTTAATGGTAGAGGAAGCAAAAAATGAAGTTGATATATCTCAGTGTGAAAACCTTTGGAAAAATCCTCCAGAGTGCATTGGGTCTTTTTTCCCAAGGCTTTATTTTGAAAAGTATCACTAACATCTCCACAGTATTCTGCATGCGTTAAGCAAAAGCTGAGGATGAATTAGCAATGAAGAATAGTACACAGTTGTTAATGAAAGGGAGATTTTACAAGTATTCCATGAGCCACCTGTGTCTCTGCAAAACAGAATATCACATTTGGAGGGGATCACATTCAGTCATCCATTGGCAACTGAATCTATGCACTCACTACTTAAGTGTGTATAACACTTCAAAATGTATTTAACACTTGTCATTCTCTGAACTTCAGCTACCCTGAATCATTATGATGGCCTAAAGATGCCAACTTCGGTCTCTTGCAAGCTTTTCTGTACACAAATCAGTTCTCCAAGCAACAGTACAGTATTTAACAATAACACAAGAAAATTAAAAGTCTGAGAACAACTCAAATCTATAATAATCTCAAAGTCTTTAACAAACACTGAAATAATTTTTTTTTTTTGAGGGTTGTAAAATTAAGAGGTATTGATTTAGGAATTCCTAGAAAATGGTCTTAAATTACACCAATGGATGGATATCCTGGGAAAATACAGAGCGCAGACCCATGAATTGAGATCAATTTCTTTCACTGCACAGCAAGGGCTAAAACCCATGACACTATAAAGTTCATCTATGCACTAAAAAGACTAAGCTCCTTACACATTAACGTCTTACAAAAACTTCATACTCACAGTGGGTTTTCACCTTAAGACAACACATCTGTGGGATGGCCAGAATGGCATTACTTTCTATTCTAAGTGAGGTCTCAGTAAATTAACATTGACTTGTACACGAAGCTACCCCTTTTATTTATGCCAAAGAACGATCAAAAAGCAATGGCTCTAGGCCCCCCTTCAAGAAAGAGGTAAGAAGTACCAAATAGTTATAAATTATGTTTATTTTTATGTTGTCAATTATGTTTATTTTTATGCACTAAGCAAAACTCTGATGTCTAATAAATACCACAGCTCCTTGACAGAAGACTGTCTTCCATAGAGAATATGTAACAAGTAGTTGGAAATTGTACCAAAGACTCACATTTCCAGCTTCTGAACGGTTTACTTCTGGAAATCTTTAAAAGTTATTATTATAGGAAATAATTCTATATTAACACAGAACTGTTCTTTTGGTTACCATCCAGATTGCAGAATTTGCTAAAGTACGCAGCCTGGATGTGGGAAAGTTAAAATCCCACTCTCCTGGAAAGGGTTCCCAAAAAGTTAGCTGCTTATATGAAATGAACAAGATGTTCTGACAGTGCACAGTTCACACTTGCTATGATAATCAGTCTATAATACCACTTTTCTCCTTTTTTCATCTTAAGTGTAACTCTTCACAGATAAAACACCTGTAATTTTACAGAGTAGATAAAAATCCTCTTCTTGTTTCGGCTACATAAACAAAATATCATGACACTACTTTTTTTTTTTTTTAACCAACAAAGTGTTAAAACTGATTTTACTGTATTACTTTCAGTTCTATATTTAATACTTTTATGAAATTCCATTTTTCACTTACAATACTTATAGTTAAAATAATACAACAAAACAGTGTCATTTTCAGAAATGCACTGACTTGAAAACAGAGAGAAGAAATACACCTGAAATAAATGGCAGGCTTCAATTACTGATACTGTTTCCACACAAACAGCATCTCTGCGAGAAGGATGCTCAAACAGCTCAGGAAAAAGTAGTTTTCTTGGTCTGTCTTGGATAACATTGGAGGTTCATTAGCCAGTTCCCACAAAACTGCCTCTCCTGTCAGTCTGCTGCTCCACATTTATCACTAAAGACCTGCACTTGGCCAAATCTGTGCACCGTGTCCTGCTTTAGTGTCGAACTGCAGTGATGACCTGCGTGTTCACGAGCAGCCACTGCCTAGTGAACCTCACCTCTCATTACAGCCCGCGTAGAGTCCCCACCTCATCGGTCGGCAGCAGGACTTGTTGGGGGGGCTTGGAGTGGCATCGGGCATTACAGCGCATGACTGAACACCAGCCTTTCATCACAGCAGACCAAGTCACAAGAGAAATTAATTTACCCATGAGCTTTACACTCAGTTTACATTAAGTTCAGCTAGCTTGTTCACTGTTACCCAACAAAGACACATAAGCAATGCTTTTCCGCAGTCCTCAAGCAAAACACTTCCAGGTCTAGCATGATTCACACCGCTGTTGTGGACCACAGGCACAAAACCAGGCAGTGACTTTCTCAGGTGACTCAGATGCAGACGATCACATCTGCGCTGGCACATACCCAGGGTTGTGAACCACTCATTTCTAGTAGCACTAACAATAGCCTTATGTTTAAAATAAAATCCATCTATCTCATACTGAACAGCCACAGTAGAGATGTTCATTTAACTGTCTGAAGACATCTACTTAGAAAGGGAGCTACATTGCTCTCCCCAAACTTCTCTCGTTTGCAAGAAGGAAAGCAAAGATTAGTAAATGCTATCAGAAAACAGGGAGTACTTGGGAAAATCCCCAACATTTGTGTGATAGAGCCAACTAATGTTTTGAAGACATACTTCAGAAAATATTAACATCCCAAACAAAATTGGCCTTTTAAATATATTTTAAAAATAAAAACTCTTACAGTGGTATATAATAGTTTCTAGAAAACACCTTTAGGATACCGCATACTGTGCATGACATTGCTATTCTTAGCAGAGGAGTTCAAATGAAAATTAAGTGGATTTGTCGCAGTCAATCTCTAAGCAAGTTTGAATATGAACAACAATTTCTTCTCACAGTATTTCTACTAAATAGACACAGAGGGTTACCTTTTCCTCAGTAAAAGCTGTTTCTTTATGTAACGTACATTCTGTTCCCTGTTTTGATTTTGAGTCCTTCAGCCCTTTATATTATTCAGTTTATCCTTTTTAAATGCATTTATTTAACTTCCATTTTGAAAAGATGGAATAAGAAAGGCTCATGATGATTTCCAAGTGTTTATGGAGAATACTGTCAATGCAGCATATTGAGTTTAGGCTTTATACAATGGTACTTGAGAACTGGCAAATTTAGAACTAATTTTGTCTCAAAACTATACCCAGTAATGCCACTACTTCTTTTCATGGCAGTCAAGAGTAACTCTGAGTTATTTGGAGAACAATAGCATATAATTTCTTTTACAGACTCATATGTACAAACAAACATATTGCCTACAATTTCAAAGACTGAGAAGACTTGCAGGCTTAACTCCAAGCTCTTAGAAAAGTGTTATACAAGTCAGAAGTATTTGGCATGCAAAACTGCACAAAATTCATAAATACTTGCAAAATGGATGTTTAAATGAACTGTCTGGAACTACATGTAATCGTGTAGTATCTGTTAAGCATGAATTATAAGTCATAACTTAAAAGATAAGAAAGTGACACATAATAGTGAGCAACCCTCAAAGGGGGCAAGACTGGAGGAAGAAGACCCTGTACACCAAATAACAAAAGTTCCACCATGTCAGGTCTCGTTTCATACTAAAATGGTTTCAGCATAGATGAGAAGGGTTCAGCGTGGAGCACTAACTGCAACAGACAGAAAAATCCTGCATGGCAAAACCTGCCATTTCCATTTCTTACCCTCTATGTTGTGGGTACCTGCAGAATTCTGACAACAAACAAAAAAATGGAAAAAATATGGTAGAAAAAGAGAGACAAATTACACACACACAGAGGTTTTTCAGCATTTGTTATTGCTCAGAATGCTGACTTCTAAAGGGAACACGCTAGGCACTTCCCTTAATCTAGAGGAGATTGTCATCGAACAGTGACAGTGTTTGGGGAAGAATAAAAAAAAATAAAAAATCAGATGTTTTAGTACGCCATGGACAACAGTAACACAGCAACCAGTGTAGCTGTCAGGTAACCCCATGTAACAGAACAGTGACACCTCTGGCACAAAGGGCGTTTCACCCCGGGCACCTCTTGGGTGTCTTCACGTCGCTGTCGTCCGTAACTACAACCAGCATCCAGAAAAAACAGCTGTTTTAACATCAACTCTTAATAATTACAACAGAGCCTAACTGAACAACAAATGCAAAGGAACAATAATTGTACCGATGTTTTATAGCTGAAGATTAAAATTGAGAGCTTTTGTATCATATTTAAACCTGACCACTTTAACCAGTATGTATGTACTGAAACAAAGCTTTTGGTTTAGCACTATATAACATCTAAATAGAGGAAGGATATTGAGGTAGGACAGGTAATTTGCCCAAAGTTATGTCGGAAAGTGAGAAGGGGCAAGAATAATGTCCAGGACTCCACAGGATACAGGATGGAGTGTAACCAGATCAGTATGTGTCAAAATTAGGTCTCAAAGGATTATTCTGAAACTCTATTTTGGGCCTCTACAGTAGAAGCATATATACTGTCATCAAGATTTCTCCAGGCAGAAATTGTTACAGGATTTTGCCTTTAAGGCTTTAATCTTCTTTAAGGGGGGATGGGGAAGCATGGAAAAAAAAGGAAAAAGCTAAACAAAAACATATATTTACATTTCTATCTCCTTTCTTTAAAAAAAGCCTTGCTTAGTAGTAACTAATTTTGTAACTTTGAGATAAAAAAACGGCAAGTTAAATGCTACAATATAATTTCATAAAGCTGTTACTGATGAACACGGAAATGAATTGGATAGTTTACCACAGTCATAGAAAGAGCATGCACTTTTCCTATGTCTTTTTCTAGAAGTATAATATTTCCAGACTATTTCTTTAACAAGGAATAAACACATAGGTTTTGCTTACTATATCTTGAATCTGCTTTCTTTAGGAAAGCTGACAGGAAATTCCTTGTTTAACAGGAGAAGAATCAGATCCTTAGATAACACTATATTGTTAAAGAAAGCAAAGATGATGAGTGTTATTAAAGAAATGAAAAAATGCTCACAGAATGGGTGAGTTTTAGAAGAGATAGGTGTCTTGACAAGTCATGTCTGTTAACACGAGCTATTTACTGAATGCATTGAAGACTGAATTGCATTTCAAGGTATAGCAAAGCTCAAACATGGTGGGTGGCTTTGTAGCATGGGCTCAGGTTCAAATTTATTTGCCTTCAATCACGTGCTTATATTTAAATGCTTAAATTCTTGTCTAGAAGAGAGATTCTGCCTATATGTATTTAAAGATTTCCCTTGACATGCAAAAGGTAAGTGATTGGGGTTGTGACAAACACAGAGTTTCATTTCAGGGCTTGTTTTACTTTCCTTTTTTTTAAAAAAAGGAACAAAACAAGAAGCCTGTAAAGCTACCCAAATTATTATTTACACATGGTTCGAATCTTCTCTACGTACTTCATTATCACAAACACATTCATTAGCTTACTAAAAGCTGAAGGGACAACAATAACTCCCCACATCCTTTCAAATGGAAAGACTGTCAATTTTGATTCACTTCATCAAGGAGAACATGAAGTCCAGAAGTAGTAAAGAGTCTCATAGATACTGAAGGTCTGATTGCAATTTCAGCCCATGGAGAAGTCCGATTTAGTTTTCAGAAATGTCCCAACCTTGCTGGCTGCCAATAATTTGGACCAAATGTTCAAAACCAGGAGTGTGGAGCCCGGTACCTGAAGCGACGAGGTGAAGCACCACTGCTGCCCCAGCTGTGGCCCGTCCGCTCTGCTGCAGCGGAGGCTGGGCTGAGGGAGGATTAGGTCCCATACCTGCTCAAGCAAAATTCTCCTTCAAATGACTTTGAGACTTTCCTTAAGAAAGCCTTCAAGATGAGCCCTCACAAGTTTCTGCTCTCCATCTGCACAGTGCCCACAGAATTAGTGACAACTTATACAAGCTTAAGGTATTAATAACATACACATGGTCATCTTCAGATGATCATACAGCATGTTTTAATAAATCTAGTATTTAACGAACAGATTTCTGTTTTATAGGAACCATTGAATGGACAACTGGTGGGGGATGGATATAAATATAGGGTGCTATGTTCATTTTTTAGACCCCTACAGGCTCACACAGATGACAGGGTACTGACCTCATCTGGGAGGGTGAATGTAGCAATTCCTATAGACAAACAGCTGTCAGATCCACAAAGTAAGTAAATCAGAGATAGATTCCTCCTACTTCCTCTCAGTATTTAACATTAATGATTCTAGGAAATATGGTATTCCTGAAATAAAGAACTTGTAACTACAATTTTCACACTACATTTTATTTGACAAAAGAAGTTATATTGCTAGAAATACCACAGGGAAATTACAGCTGTATGACAGGTTTTCTGAAAAGCCAATTTCACATCTCAAGGTTTTCAAAATAAAATTTCAACTTCCAAGACTTTTTCCAAAAGACAGAATTTAGAGCTTTTACAGTTGGAAAGGAGATGTCACAGACAATAGGACAAAAAAAAATAAAAAATCAATGCTAACTAAGGTTATTTTGGTCTTCCAGTGTTATCTTTCAGGGGGAACAAACAGCCTCACTCTAAACACAATGTCCTTATGTCAATAAACCTGCAATTGAAATTAGAGTGGTGGAAATGCATTCTACATATGGCAAATATTTAAGCTATTATTCAGGAGAAAAATCTTACTCCATGGAATGTAATAGGTCTACTTATGTCCTAACTAGTAATGTAAAATAATAATTTGCAAAATGTAGAACAGGTTTTGTGCCATAACTTGACATGATAAACTTACAGGAATAAAATTAATTTAGTTTGTGTCAGTGACATTCAGTTCATGTTGATGCAGTGTTAGCAATGAGTAGTATTAGTAGCCTGGTGTTAGTATTGATAGTGTTAAGTCCTGACAGGCTAACAAGGTGCAGTATCTCTCATTAAATCAATTACTTACTAAAGCTAAAAAAGTACATGATCTTTGGAATGAAGAGACTACATATTTAATATAATACATTATATTATAAGATTATTATAACTACAATCAGACCAAAAGCCATCCTTGGGACTAGATTTCCCCACCTTTATTGCTGCAAGTCTGCAAACATGTCCTGCAATGTGATTGCA